CACTTATTTGATTTTGCAGATTAGCAGATATGGCTAGAAAATACTTAACGCAGCAAGAATTAGAAAAGTTCTTATATGAGGACGATGAAGAAAATATTTTAATATTTGATACTTAGTATAAATGACAATAATAACACCATTTTGAATGTCAATGAAGATATTCCTGTTGAAGGGAGTGACACTTTACTCGCTGGAAATAAACAGCCCCTAGTGCAAGCAGATAATACTGATTTGTTTCAAACTGATAACACAGAGCTAGCTAGTGAGACAGAAATATCATTGCCGATTGAAGATGAAACTAACATATTGGGACTCGATGATAATGAAGATAATCTTATATCACCAAAAGATATAGATACATCTAGAAAAAATAACAGAATAAGAAGGATGAAAGGGAAAACCTATAGGGGTTTGAAAAAAAAAATGAAATACGAGATGTCGACAATAAAAAATGCGCGTTTACTTGGTAGTACATGTAACTCAAAAAAATGCAAGCTTTCGAAAAACCGATTTTGCTCCAAATTTAACCGTAGCGCAAGGAAAGAAATGTTTAATTACTTTTGGAACAAACTAAACTGGGATGCGAGAAAACAGTACGTGTGTTCTCTAATTAATTCTGTAATAATTATACAACGGATAAAACAGTTCCTGAAAAAAGTAGCGGAGTGGAGTTATTTGGTTTTGCACCCCACTTGACGTGATGCTGCTGTGATGACTATGTCGAACAACTCTTTTGAAGTATATAAAAAAGTCGAATATAAAAAAATCTTTTCAAAATCTCACTTCATTTAGAAAAAGGGGCGAGAAAGCACTTGCAATTGATAATTCTCTCCTATATATGGTATGTAAAGACAACCAACCGTTATCAATAGTAGAAAATGAAGGCTTTCAACATTTACTTCACACAGCGTGTCCTTTGTATAAATTACCAGCCAGAAAAACCATGACCAAACTGCTAAATGACAAATATGTGGTTCTAGTCAATTCTTATAAAGAGAAATTTGGGAAATGTAACAATTCTAATTTAACAGCTGATATTTGGATCGAACAATATCAAACAAAGAGTTACTTGGGAATAACTTTACATTATTTAGAAAATGACGTCGAGATGAAAAATACTACCCTTGGAGTATATCTATTAGAAGAGCAGCATACATCGGAATAAATTTGCACAAAATTTGAGGAATGTTTAAATGCATGGAATATTCCTAAAGAAAAAATATTTGACATTGTCACAGATAATGGATGCAATATAGTGAAGGCAGTATGCAATACATTCACTAAAAATAAACACTTACCGTGCTTTGCACATACACTCAACCTTGTCGCTGATAGTTCATTTAAAACATGCCTGATGTTACTAAGATTTTTTCAAAAGTGAAAACAATAGTAACTTGGTTTAAACAAAGCGTTCTTGGAACATCCGGGATGGCAGACAGACGGAAAGGGGAGACCTATCTCTTGGTACTCTAAGGGTCATAAAAGGTGGAGAAAAAAGTAGAGAGTCAGCCGACGGACTTGATTACAATACTTCCTTTAAAAAAGTAAAGTAAAAAGTAAGTAAAGAGAGTAGACTTGCTTTTCAATTGTTGAGAAACAATACAAATTTTGATCTATTTTTAACTGGTGTGGTTAAACCTAATCGTCAAGTTACAGTAACAGATGATAAACAGAATACGATTTTCTATCCTTGCCCATATTGTAAAGGGATATTTACAAAAGCTATTTAAATAGGCACGCTAAAAAGCGTGTTTCAAGCAATTTAGCTAATGATAAATCAAATGTGCTTGCGTGCTCGTAGACGCTAACAGCATGCGCAATGGATCCGGTCAACGTCATTTCAAGCAGTAAAATATTTGTAAAACCTATGTACTTTTTAGGTATTTAATTCCATGAAACCAGATGAGATAGCCTTTGTAGCAAAAAATATTTGTTAATTGCAAATTTTGTGGAATCTTATCTAAAGAAACATAAAAGAGAACGATTGGCTTATGCTTGTAGTAACGAATGCGTGAACTCTCAAGATTGTTGTTGAGTTTTCAAGAAATTATGAATGATGAAAAATTATCGTTAAAAGAACCACTACATCCTAAACATTTTGACAACGTATTCTTCGCAGCGACACGAGTAATTGGTTTTGACTTTGAAAAGAAAACATTTAAAACTCCAAGTTTAGCTCTGCACTTGGGGACCTCTTTGAAATTAGTATCTGATGAAGATGAATTCATATGTATGCCTGTGTCTGTGTTTTGAACGATCAGCTTGATTGACATTAATTTCAAATTTTGATTCAAAGAGTTAAAAAGTGTGTTTTTTGCGTTTAGTGTTTGTGTTTTTTACTTGTTTTGATTTGTTAGATATGATATTATAGACCTTGGTGCTGTTTTTTGTAGTGGCTGAAGTTTGGACATTTTAAGTTACGTCTGTTGTGTGTGTTAAAGAACGTTTCATATATATAGACCCCATGGAAGACATTACAATTCATGATTACGCAAGAGTGAGTTGATTTATTCTGTGCAATAATAATATACCATCATATTTTGTAGCCCTCTTCAACCCAGTGCAATATGACTGTTGTTGACAACATCGTGGCACAAAAAAATGATTGCCAATGCGTATTAATTTTGCAAGAAAGGAAATTTTAATTTAGGATGCCTGACAGAGGTTGTTACTTCAATATAATTGTCTTTGTGAAGTTTGTGCTGCATTTGCTTTTATCTTTAACACAAACTCAAGGCAGGTATAGTTATTTGAGAGTAGCACAAACAAATTAATTTCATTTTAATATACATATTTAGTATGTTAAGCACTTACTAATTGTGTATCATTATTGAAGGTTACTGCAAATTGTTTAGGCGTTAGTGTAACAGCAGTAGTTAAATATAAAAATTTATCCCTGCATGAAGGAAGGCACAAGATTCAACGTAAGCGACAAAAAAGGTCTACCCCAGATCTTGATAACAACATCAAGAGGGAAGTGCGTGTCTACGATATGGTTCACAACAGTAAGCCTGTAGTTATTGCTTTAATCTTTAAGAAAATGTATTTAATTTGCAAGAGGAAAGTTGATTTTTTTATAGACTTCGGAGGGTGTATTGCATGTTGATTGTGTTTAACTTATTTGAGTCTTTCTTTAAAGGAAACCGTAAATTTGAACACTTTAGGTGCTCGACTAACTGAGAAATTCATTTACACTTACAAAAAATCGTCTTTGGCAATACTTCTAAAGGAGTTAGTTTTTTCCTACAGGAAAAATGATAATAGAAGAGCCTTGATGGAAAAACCTCATGTTAAGACCTTCAGAAAAATTTTTCCACAAAAGTACATGGAAATTCTGGCAAGTTCGGAAACAAAACAATTTGTTTTCTTAGATGAAACATGGGTTTTTGACAACGGTACGGTAAGACGATCATGGCAAGATGAAGACGTACGTTCAGTGAAAAGAATTTCAGGAGACGGGGGTTAATTCTTGTCACTTTTTACTGTTTAAAGATTGAAAACCATTATGACAGATCGATATATTGTTGTTCATGCAGGCACTGCAACTGGTTTTGTCGAAGGTGCCTCACTTGTTTTTAAAAGTGGAATTGGACTACCATTCTGATATGAATGCAGAAACGTTTGAGAGTTGGATGGTAGATCATTTACTACCAGCTCTTGATAGGCCTTCCATAATAATATTGGATAATGCAAGCTACCACAGCCAGCTGGGAGAAAAGCGACCAACAACAGCTTGGCGAAAGGCACACTTGCAGGAGTGGCCAGAAAAAAAGCGAATCACTTTTCCCGATAGTGCAAAAAAAGATGCCCTCCTGCAATTGTGTAGAAATAATTTGCAGGAGCCAGTGTATGCTGTAGATCGAATGATACAAGCTGCAGGTCATGATGTGTTGCGTTTGCCCCATACAAATGCATATTTAATCCAACTGAAATGGTATGGAGTCAAACAAAACGCCAGTACGATAAGGAAGTACAACAAATTAAAAATCCTTTGACAGCATGGAAACAAGCGTAAAGCAAAGTAACAGCACAGCAGTGGCAAAATTACATACGGCATACTGAAACCATAATAAAAAATTACTGGAAGAAAGAGCGATTGGTGAATGTTAACGAACTTGTTATAAATTTAAATCAAGATACTGATGATAGCGATAGCGATGTGGATAATTAGTTGTATTTTGATTTTGTTTAAAGGAAAATGTCAAAATTAAAATAATTGTACCATGATTTTTCTTATACTTTAATTTTTTACATATTTTAATAGAATCATTGGTTATTTAAAATACTGGACATTCGTGATCATTTATGACCTAATAAAACCAAAAGAATTATTGCAAAACATAGTTGACGGGTGTCATTTTTCTGCCAAAAGCATTGTTGCACTCCAATTTGCACTATATCTATATATATATAAATCAATTGCTGTTCGTTAGTCTCGCTAAAACTCGAGAACGGCTGAACGGATTTATCTTTTCTTGGTTTTGAAATGTCCGTGGAGGTCTAGGGAAGGCACTTTTCTTCTTGACAACCAAGTGACAATCTTTTATATCTAAAAAGACAAAAGACATCAAATGTTTCACAGCTCAGAACATGTTGTATTGGAAAATAGAATTTCTGTTTTTAGTATTTTTGTTTCTCACCGTTTAAACCTTCTCTGAATTTCCATAAATATCTCAGGACCAAACTAGACTACCTAGACCTAGACCAGATATTAAGTTTTGTTACAAATTAAATTTCTGAACGCAACGATAATATTTGACATTAGATTTGACAACCAACTAATATGTCAATCCATCCTGTTGCACTTTAGAACACGGAAAGAAGTATTACGATATTGTGTTACGATATCTATGAGTGCGCGAGAACTTTCTTTACTTTGGCGATCCTTTGTGATAGTGACATTCCAGGTAATGTGCTCTTTTTTTTGATATTTTGTGATTGTGACAGTTTACTGCTAAGTGAACGAAAAATTTTCTCACTTTGATTATTTACAATTTACGATGCCGAGGAGAAGACGACCTGACTTAGGTCGTCGCAGTCAATCGAATGTGCGAAGAGCTACCTCACGTGCTAACCGCACTGATGACCAGAGAGAGACAGATCAAGAAAATAGTCTTATTGCTATGTCAGAATTGCGTTATTTAGTGAGTGATCATGAAGTAGATAGGCTTAGAATGCAACGAGTTCGTGCACATCAAACACAACAACAGCAATCACGACATAATGAATTGATCGAATCCGCAGACGGAATGCTCCTGTGATTCTTGAACGAGCTGCATTCCACTATGATCCGGCAATTGATTATAGTGCCGACAAATCGGTAACAATTGGGGAAATGAAAATAATTTGTAAATATTGTAAGGCGTTAAAATACACTCATGAATCTACTGGATTATGTTGTGCTGGAGGCAAAGTAAAATTGCCACAATTGGTCCCACCACCAGATCCTTTACGATCTTTAGTTTCTGGGATTGGAAATGATTCTAAGCACCTCTTGGCCAACATTCAGAAATATAACAGCTGTTTCCAGATGACATCATTTGGCGCTACACATATTATACACGACAATTTCATGCCCACTTTCAAGGTATTATATACCAGAATATTTTTTTATAATATTCAATATGTACTAAAATGTACTCGTATATATCGGAAATAATTAATCGACAAATTTTTAAAAATTACAGATTCAAGGACAAATTTATCACTTATTGGGGACACTGTTACCAGTACCTGATGCAGATTATCAATTTTTACAAATTTATTTTATGGGCAATTCAGATGCGGAAGTTGATAATCGTTGTGCTCACAATCCAACAGTGAAGAGAACCATTGTCCATTAATTACAAATGTTTCTTCATTAGAATAACAATTTAGTAAACATGTTTAAAATAGCATTGGATCGGATGCCATCTGATAGCCATAATATTATCATTCGAGCTGACAAAACACCTGCCGGTGAACACACAAGGAGGTTTAATTCGCATACCATTGACGAAGTGGCTGTTGTCATTGTGGGAGAAAATTTACAATCTAGAGATATTGTGCTTCATCGTCGGAATAGTGATTTAAAACGTGTATCTGAAACACACAGGAGTTATGATGCATTACAATATCCTTTGATCTTTTGGCAGGGGGAAGATGGATACCATTTTAATATCAAAATGGAAAATGAAGTAACAGGTAAATAAATTGAACAAGATTAAATAATATTTTTTAATTCAATTCATCTAAGTAACAAATTAAACATTTATCATTTTTGATAGCAGGTGCTGAAACCAACAAAAAAGTTAGTGCTATGAATTTCTATTCATACAGACTCATGATCCGTCAAGGTGAAGTAAATCATATTTTGATGTGTCAAAGACTTTTTCATCAGTTTGCAGTTGACTTGTATGTCAAAATTGAGACTGAACGATTGACATACATCCGTTTGAACCAACGACAGCTACGATCAAAGGAATACATTCATCTCCGTGACGCTATAAATGCGGATGGCAATGTGAATAATGTGGGAAGAATGACAATTTTGCCAGCCACTTATATAGGAAGCCCACGCCACATGCATGAATATGCTCAGGATGCTATGTCATATGTTAGGCATTATGGCCGCCGAAACTTATTTGTTACATTCACATGTAACCCTAAATGGTCCCAAATCAAGAGGGAATTGCTACATAGCCAAACACCAGTTGATAGACAGGACATAACTGCCAGAGTTTTTAAACAAAAATTAAAATCTCTCATGAATTTCTTAATAAAGCATTGTGTGTATGGCCGAGTCCGTTGTTGGATGTATTCTGTAGAATGGCAAAAGCGTGGATTGCCACATGCGCACATATTAGTCTGGTTAGTGGACAAAATAAGGCCAGATGAGATTGATTCCATAATTTCAGCTGAAATTCCAGATGAAACAGTTGACCCAAAATTGCATGCAGAGTTACCAAACACATGATACATGGACCTTGCGGACTTTTCAACTACAATTCACCATGTATGGTCGACGGCAAGTGTTCCAAGCGATACCCAAGAGACCTGCTTGCTGAAACCATAACGGGAAATGATGGATACCCATTGTATCGTCGGCGATCAGTTGCGGATAATGGGCGATCGGTAGTTGTGAAGGTAAGAGGACAAAATGTTGATGTAGACAATCGTTGGATTGTGTCATACTCGCCAATATTGTCCAAAGCTTTTGAGACTCACATCAATGTAGAATATTGTAACTCTGTGAAGTCGATAAAGTACATGTGTAAATATGTTAACAAAGGTAGCGATATGGCTGTCTTCGCTGTAACCAATGCAAATGAAGAAATATCACAGTACCAGATGGGTCACTATGTAAGTAGCAACGAAGCAATTTGGCGTATCTTTTCATTTGCGATCCATGAAAGACACCCTACAGTAGTCCATTTGGCAGTCCATTTAGAAAATGGTCAACGAGTTTATTTTAATGAATCGAACGCGGCAGACAGAGCGCCACGTTCACCGTCGACAACATTAACAAGTTTTTTCACAGTCTGTCAAACTGATGATTTTGCTCGCACTTTGCTGTATGCTGACATGCCACGCTATTACACCTGGAATGCATCATCGAAATCGTTTCAGCGTCGAAAACAAGGAACACCAGTTGAAGGACATCCAAATGTATTTTCTTCAGACGCTCTGGGTCGCATCTACACAGTACATCCAAATTACGATGAATGTTATTATTTGCGGTTGTTGTTGGTGAATGTTCGTGGTCCGATATCGTTTAAACAACTGAGAACAGTTAATGGACAGCTGTGTGCGACTTACCGTGAGGCATGTCAACTATTGCATTTACTTGAGAACGATTCGCACTGGGATGATATGCTCAAGGATTCCGTAATATCTTCATCGCCGCATCAAATTCGTACATTGTTTGCGATTATCATATCGACATGTTTCCCCTCGAATCCAAAAGATTTGTGGGTTAAGTATAGAGATGACATGTCTGAGGATGTTTTGCATCGTGTGCGCCGTCAAACTTTGAATCCTACACTACAAATGACTACAGAAATTTACAAAGAGACATTGATCATGATAGAAGATATGTGTTTATTGATGGCAAATAAAGTATTGTCGTGTTTGGGAATGACAGCACCAAATCCTCATATGCACAATGCATTAAACCACGAGTTGCAAAGAGAACAACAGTACGACATTGAAGCATTGGCCGAAACAGTTCGTACAAATGTTCCACAATTAAATCAACAACAAAAAATTGCGTACAACACTTTGATAGAAGCTGTGAACAGTGGATCTGGTGGAATTTATTTCCTTGATGCTCCCGGAGAAACCGGAAAAACGTTGTTAATTTCATTGTTTTTGGCGAGGATCAGATCGCGAAATGATGTTGCTCTAGCGTTGGCTTCATCTGGAATAGCTGCGACTCTGCTAGAAGGCGGGCGAACTGCACATTCTGCCTTGAAATTACCATTAAACATGCAAATCACCGAAACACCAATGTGCAACATCGCCAAAAATAGCGCAATGGCCAAGATCCTACAGGTATGCAAATTGATTGTTTGGGATGAATGCACAATGGCCCATAAGAGGTCACTGGAGGCACTGGACAGAACGTTGAAAGATCTTCGTGACAACCAAAATATTTTTGGTGGGGCCATGATTCTGTTGTCAGGTGATTTTCGTCAGACTCTTCCAGTTATTCCTCGATCAACTGTTGCTGATGAACTAAATGCATGCCTAAAATCATCGAATTTGTGGCAGTATGTAAAGACACTCCAATTAACAACTAACATGCGAGTATTTTTGCAACAAGATGAAACTGCGAATGTGTTTGCGAAGCAGTTGTTAGGCATTGGAAATAATAAAGTTGCAGAGGACACCTCGACCGGATTCATCACGTTACCCACAAATTTCTGTCACATCACAGACTCAAAAGAGGAGCTTATTCAGCGTGTTTTCCCAGATATAGCGCAAAAGTACAATAACCATAATTGGCTGGGTGAACGAGCAATATTGGCGGCGAAAAATAAAGATGTCGAGGATCTCAATGCGACCATTCAGAATTTTCTTCCAGGACAGTTGGTTTCCTTCAAATCAGCCGACACCGTTATGAACCAGGATGACGTAGTCAACTATCCCACGGAGTTTTTAAATTCATTGGAATTGTCTGGAGTACCACCTCACAATTTGCAGTTAAAAATAGGGTCAGTTGTCATCATGCTGCATAACATTAATCAACCTCGGCTGTGCAATGGAACAAGACTGGTTGTGAAAAAGCTGATGAATAACGTCATTGAGGCAACAATCATAAAAGGAAAATACAGGGTTAGTCACGAGAGAATTACTTCTGAAAATTATTTTTACGCAACCCAAAATACGAATACCATGTACCATTTGATACTAACTGAATTTAAAATGAAATGCTTAATCCATGATTGCTTTGAGTTTGGCAATCTCATTTTGACAATTGTGGAAAATGAGGTTACGCGAGTGTCCATGGTGGTACCGCAGCCAGTCGGAAATCTCCTCCGGCGCCGCTAATAATTTGTCAGTGTGCCTCTTGATCTTGTGCAACCGATTAATCACGAGAAAATTATTTCTAAAAATTCCTTTTACGGCATTTTATTCAAAGGTTACAACACAAACTCAAACAAGTAAGTAAATAATTTAACTACTAATCTGTTGAAAATGTTGGGCATTTTGGGGGGATGCTACGGCTTTTTTGTAAATGGATGGCCGAAGAAGTCCAGAGGTTGCAGATTTGCACTTCGAAGAGGCTCTAGGTGACGCAGAGATGGCGAATTAACACATGCACATTAGCGGCGGACAACATTGGTAGAGCACTTACGGCTTCAGTATAGCCCAGATTGATCTGACTGTATGTCGTCGATCTAATGGGGCTCTAGAGGCGAGTCAACGATGAAAAAAAATGTTAAAAATTAATTAACGTCAAAGCGACACTGCCAAAGTCAAAGCAATCATGGATTAGGCATTTCATTTTAAATTTAGATAATATCAAGTGGTACAGGGTATTAGTATTTTGGGTTGCGTAAAAATAATTTTCAGAAGTAATTCTCTCGTGACTAACCCTGTACAAAGGAGCGGATGTCTTGATCCCGCGGATACCGATGATTCCAACGGATTTACCATTCGATTTTAAACGCTTACAATTTCCACTACGTCTGGCCTTTGCGATGATCATAAATAAATCGCAAGGACAGTCGTTAGAAGTTTGCGGAATCAACTTGGAGTTTCCCTGTTTCGCGCATGGACAATTATACGTCGCGTGTTCGCGTGTCAGAAAACCGTCTTCTTTGTTTATTTACGCACCACAAAACAAAGCAAAAATAGTAGATTGTTTTATTAGGATTAAAAGTGCCATTTTTTGCGACGAGCAAATTTTGCATTTGCGAGGCGGAGCGAAGCGAAGCCGACCGGATGCAAAATTGCGAGTCAAAAACTGACTTTTAATCCGAATGAAACATACTACTTTTTCGCCAGCCAAAAAGTAAATCTCAAAAATACAAAATATTGATAACAATAATATCGAGCAGAAATGAATCAATCTGCAAAGTAGTCTGGTATCCACGTCGTCAAGGCTTTTTTTGTTTGCTTACATACCATTGTTTTGTGAAAACGTTTGCAGTGTTAATAATGAATCCTGAAGAAGAGTTACCTCCCGATGTGCTAGAAGAAGCACAAAACGTGGTACTGAACTTGTTACCAACAAAATCGCGCGAAGTGTATGAGTGCGCGTATACCCGCTTCATCAAATGGTGCGAAGGGAAAAAGATTCAAACTTATTCTGAGAACGTCCTATTGGTATATTTTTCCGAATTGGCTACAAAAATGAAGTCATCCACACTGTGGTCGCAGTATTCCATGGTGAAAGCAACTTTAAATATAAAAAATGGCATAGAAATCGGAAAGTATTCAAAATTAAAAGCGTTTATAAAGAAACAAGGAGAAGGATACGTTCCAAAGAAATCAAGGGTTTTAACTAATGAACAAATAGAAGTTTTCTTAGACACGGCTCCGGATTTCAAATTCCTGATGATGAAAGTATGTTTATAACCTAATGAAGAGCTTATATTTATTTTACGAATTTTTTTCAGATTGTTGTAATCTTTGGCGTTAGCGGAGCTTGTCGGTGTCACGAACTATTACAAATAAAAACTGAAGATATTGAAAATATTAAAGCAGGTTTATTGGTAAAAATTCCTGATACCAAAACGAAAAAACCCAGATCATTTACGGTTATGGGGGAAAAGTATTTGAAATTTTACGAAAAGTATGTTGCGCTTCGTCCAAAAATGTTTAATGAAGGTCGGTTTTTTATTAAATATGTCGACGGAATGTGCCATCGACAAGTAGTTGGCATTCATAAAATTAGTGGTGTACCCCAAGAAGTAGCCAAATATTTAAAGCTAGAAAACTTTAAAGAATACAGCGGACATTGCCTACGTCGGACTTCTGCCACGCTTTTTGTGGATTCTGGCGGTGATATTACGTCCCTCAAGAGGCACGGTGGGTGGAAATCTGACAGTGTAGCCGAAGGTTACATAGAAGAGTCTCTTAAACACAAAAAAGATGTAGCAAAAAAAATTTTTCGTTTGGAAGAACCAGGTACAAGTAGTGAAACCACAAGTAAAATACATGAAGACGCAACGAATAGGAATGTGAGCGAAGTAAACCTAGAAGAATCAGGTACAAGTAGTGGAACTACGAATAGAATGATCACACGTGAAGACGGAATAAGTAGGAATGTGGGAGCAGTAAACCTGAATTTTGACACTGTGACCAACCAGACAGCAGGAGCGGTAGAAGTGTTAGCGCAAAATATTATTACTGACCGCATGAAAAATGATAATAGTGACGGAAAATCTTTAATCCAAATCAATCGCAGTTGTTCTTATTGTACATTCAATATTAATTTTAAAATTTAAATAATTAATAACAATGTAAGTTAATAATAAAATTGGAAAATATTAATAGCATTTCATTCTCAAAATAAAACAATTGAAAACTTTTTAAGGCTAGGATTAAAAAAAAAATTAATGCTAGGATTAAAAAGGCAAAAATGACATTGTTACTTTAGTAACGCAACTTTTTTTTACTCTCACAAAAACGTCAAGTTTTCCGTCCAAAATTGACGTTAAAAGTGACATCTTTTAAGACGGCTGGCGAAAAATATAGTTTATGAGAAAGCTTTAAATTAATTAACAAACTGTATCATAGCAGTGTGTGTCCGTCAATATCAAATTTAAACCTTATAAATAGCCAGTATCTCAGGAAAACTCTACTTTGTAATTAAGCAACATGATGTGTCGAAAATAATAATAAAACTTCATGCTTCATTCACAATGTGCTTTTTTATTAAATACGAATTCGTTTTGTTTGTTTTAAAATTATTTTATACAAAAGTTTAGGTCTTTTATTTATCGATTGAGGCAGTACGAAGTCTGCCGGGTCAGCTAGTAGATACATAATTATTTGTCAAGAAAGTATTGTAACTTGCATTATTTAATAACAAAGGTAAAATGCTATACATAACTTAATTTAATTTAAAATGTAACTTTCAATCTCGCTTTAATAGTACAATGAAGACTCACGAAGGATCCCGACGGTTAATTTGTTTACTGTGCTTTGGGAAAACTAAAGATAGAGGCAAATCCGTTCAACAGAAGTATATAGACATTATTACAAAATATTTTCTTCCGAACTTTTTCATCGAAGATTCGCGGTACCCTACTGCTCTGTGTTCCACATGTCGGAGAGTACTTTGTGAATATAGTAAGAATAATTTCAATAGGAAAATCCAATTGTGTGATCATTCAAGTGTACATCTGAAAAAAACTAGAAGTCAGATTCAAACATGTGAATGTGTAATTTGTAAAACCGCATTGTCAACGCCTTTCAAAAGCAAGGATTATAAAGTACATAAAACCGTTGGATGACCGTCGAAAAACAAGTTAGATTAAATTTAAGTGGTAATCAAACTTTAAAAATGGTTTCTTCGTTGCGTCCACAAGTTATAATTGAAAAAAATGTGAGAAAAAATTGATGGACAGCAATACTTTCAGCAAGGATTATTTTGATAGAATGGAAAAGCAGTTTTAAAATTCAGAAAGAACTGCCTATGTTAAGAGAGTGGTGATTTTTTGTAATGATACTGAAAGATTTATAAATTTTGTAATTGAAAAAAGGCATCTTTCGCATTTGACTACGAATTTGAAAATTGGCACTGACGGTGGAGGTTTTTTTAAAATTTGCTTAAATGTTTATGACAGGTATAAAAACGAAACCAAACCCACAAAATCTCTCCAAGATTCGGGAGTTAAAAAATTTTTTATACTTGCAATTGTGAAAGATATACCTGAAACCTATTTGAACGTATCTACAATATGGAATCTTCTAAGACTCAATAGTTTAAGAAGACACTTTACCATTTTGCCACGGATTTAAAACTATCAAATATTCTTTTGGGCTTGATGTCGCACAGTTCTATGCATGGTGTAATTTGAATAAGAACCAATTGGAACATACAGGTCTCCCAAGAACGTTTAAAAATATTGAACATTACTATTACACGTGGACGACAGCCGGTAGCAACAACAGTAAATTTAACGAATATTTCAACTGCAAACATGAACCTATTATACGAGGAATTGATAAACCAACTGTAGACATCATTCCTCCACCAGAACTTCATCTATTAGGAACCGTAAATACAATTTTTGGACATCTTCTTAAAAGCATTCCTGAAATCTGTGCAGAAAAATCAGAATTACTAAAAAGAATCAAATACACATGCGCAGTAAGACCTAGCAGGCTATGGTAAGTATTTTACAACCTCCACAACTCGACAGATGGTGCTAGCCTTTGAGGGGAAAAAAGATAGGTAGTTTACGTTCTATATAAGTCATCTATGTATGACAACCAAATCATTTTATAACAATGTCAAATTGTCGATTGGAAGGGCCAAATATTAGATATTTGTAAGCCATGGTCTAATATCGTTAGTTCAGGTGTGACCGCACAGGCGCTACATACCAGGAGATCTGGCTCACTGTGATCAAGCTCCAGACAACACGTCCATTCATATTTTAATGTTTATTAATTAGCGAGAATTATCATGGACAAAATTAACGCACCACTTAATTATTTTACAAAATTTTAAGATAGCGGTCATGATTAAGGTTACTAATTTTTTTACTAATAGCGCTCTTCCTTGTTAAATGACACATATTCTGTCAAAAAATCATTTCTTTTAAAATCATAATTTTCACATTTTGTCAAAACTTGAGAATATTTTTGCTACAAAAAATCGCTAATAAACACAAAATTTCATTTGCAAGAAGGTGTTGTGTTGAGTGGTTAATGATACTAAAAATGAATCGTCGAAGAAATTTATCGGTCGAGGAAGCAGTAAAGGCATCAACTTTATTGGAAGAAGGATATTCCATGCGTTACGTTGCTAATTTGTTAAGAAGAAATCATTCCACTACAAGTCGCATTGTTGAACGCTGTAATCAGACAGAATCTTACAATCGTAGACCAGGACAAGGGCGCAAACGGTCTAGGAATCCAAGAAATGAGCGCTTTCTGAGGCAATCTGCTCTTAGAAACAGGACAGTCACTGGTACAATGTTAAAAAATGAGTTTGCAATTGCACGCAATGCTATGATATCATCTAGAACTGAAAGAAGCCGTTTAAATGAAGCTGGATTGAGTAGTAGAAGACCGGCGAAAAAACCTTTACTAACTAGGGAACACAGAATAGCAAGATTACATTTCGCTAGAAATTATCAAAACTGGACGGTTGATGATTGGAAGAGAGTTTTGTTCTCAGATGAGACTAGGGTGAACTTAAAATCTTCGGATGGACGTGAGCACGTCTGGCGCAGGCCAGGAGAGGGATTTGCAAACTGCAATATTACTCCAAAAATTCCATTTGGTGGAGGCTCCGTAATGTTTTGGGGAGGAATCTGTTTTAACGGCCGTATAAAGTTGGCTCCTATGCGTATGAGATCCATGAATGCGGATTATTATCTCGAAAACATCGTAGTTGAACATGAAATGCCGTTTGCCCTCTTCGTGGGGCCTTCCTACAGTATAGACATCAATCAGTATGGACAACGCGTGTCGGCGCCTTTGATCTTTCTGACCCGAATTTTAAGCAGTCATCGGTGGTCGATGCCCAAAATATTTCTAGATGTCGCCACCCAATTTAAAAAGGATCACAAACGATGGTAGTAATCCCTAAACAAGATGGTGGCATCCGATTATGCGTTGATTACAAATGCGGAGTAAACGAGAAATTGATCCAGGCCAACCACCCAATACGACGACGCGTTGACGATTTTCTTAACATCCTTCGTAATTCCCGTTACTTCGACATAATTGTACAAGAAACAACAGTCGAAGAATGTACACAAAACTTAGATTCCTGTTTGCAAAGACTTTCGATGTACGATCTTTACGTTAATAAGAATAAGTGGGTATTTTTTGAAAATAAAATTGAATATCTTGGTCACATTATCGAATTTAACAAGGTAAGCAAGTCTCCAGCGAAAGTGCGCGCCACTCAAGAAATGCCACAACCTTCCAATGTCGATAAAATCAGAAAATTTCTAGGCCTTGTTACATATTATTCACGGTTTATCCCAGATTTTTTTACGAGCTCCTATCCACTTAGATGCCTGTTAAGAAAAGGAGAACCTTGGAAATCGGTAGCAAACTGCAAATCGACATTTCTGAAATTAAAATCCGAACTTTGCAGCAACCGAGTACGCGTCCCGTTCGATCCTAATCTACCACTGATTTTGACAACTAACGCCAGTCCAACAGGTGTAGCCGCAGTATTGAGTCATAGCACTAACGGGATTGAAAGGCCAATTTCGTACGCATCGCGCTCACCGACGACCTCAGAAAGAAACTACAGCCACCTAGACCGAGAAGCACTAGCCATTATACATATTTGGAGTAACTCATTTCTACAACTATTTGTTTGGCAAGCATTTTGTACTAATTACTGATACGGAACCATTATCACGAATACTTCATCCCCATAAAGCCCTCCCGCAAATGACGTCTTCACGATTACTTCGATACGCTTCTTTCCTCTCAGGTTTCGATTATGCTGTACAGTGTAAAAAAGGAAGAGAAAACCAAAATGTAGATTGCTTATCTCGGATTCAAGTTCAACAAAATGGAACGTCAAGTGATGGACTTATTGGCGAGGAAGTAAATAAAATATTTGCTCAATTAGTTTTCCAGATTTCAAGTGAAAAACTAACTTCCCTGACAATCAAGAATGAAATCGAAAAAGATCCATAACTCAGAAAAATTCTTCACAAACTCAAAAACCAGGCTGAAGATTCCGAATAGACACTGCTGGATGGTATACTTTTCCGAAAAGACAGAGTCTTAATTTCAAGTTCACTACGTTCTCCATACTCAACGAACTTCATGAAACACACTTGGGAATCACAAAGATGAAACACCTTGCACGACGTTATGTATATTGGCCTAGCATTGACCGTGACATAGAAAGATTGGTCAAAGAATGCAAAAGTTGTGCACTAACCAGTCAAATTCTTCGAAACCACCACTTCATACATGGGACTCTCCAGAAGAAAATTGGGAAAGGATCCACATCGATTATGCAAATCCTTTTGAAAACCACTACTTCCTGGTATGTATCGATGCAAAATTGAAATGGCCTGAAATTAAAGTAGCAAATAAAGCACCCACCATTTCCGTAACAATTTAATAAAAAATAAGGTTCCAATACTTGTTTCACATTTTGTGAGAGAGGTATGACACTGACGTCCAAAATTTTCTGGCCGCGACTGTATCTCTGACAATGCAATCGAAGAATCCGAGATGAAAAGTTTAAAACAAACGTTCTTGCTTTTTATATAAAATCAGCACTTCAAATAAAAAAAGGTTTTCCTTTACTCACCCATTATTGAATTACTTGACAAATT